AGGTCAAATCCGACATTTCAGTAGTTTCCCCAGGCTAGGAATAGCAAAACAATGTCAGCGTTTTGAAATTTTCGCGGAGAGAAGTGGAGGCGGTCTATGCGATTATAACTTGGGCAACAGGTTTTCTTCTTCTTCTTCTTCTTTCTTTTATTTTTTTTAATTTCCCCCTTCCAGAATATCAGAGGATTTTTTTTATTTCCATGGAAAATATAAGTATAAGCAATCAAAATCCGTGTCTTATGTCTTCACCGCACGCGCTCTGATCCGATCTCTTTGATTCCCTCCAGTTGCGCCGCCGTCTCGACCGCAGCTCGAGCTTAGGGTTTCTTATTGAAGGATTATATCTTTTTGAGCGTATTAGGTAATAAATCTCTTAATTTTTCCTTTCATGATATTCTCGGTGTATTTTATTTTCTAGCTTTTGAATTAGCTGGTATTAACTTTGTTATATTAGGGATCCTTTGCGGTTTTATTTTTTTCCTCCTTATTTTCGTTAATTAACTCAGAAGCGGAAATGATGTAATTTGTTTTTAGTTCTCACACTGGTGGTCGTGTTCGGTTTATAATTTTTTTTATCTTTTTTTCCATTTTTTGTAATTCATCTAATAGTCGAAGTAGGTAGTTGAATTTTGAAAGTTTATAGGATCTTTTTTTTTCGTTCTGTTTGGTTGCTGTTAAATCAAGAGGAAGACTCGTGTTTACTTATGTATGTGTCTGATACCTCTGTTTTTGGGTTCTCTTTTTTATTGAGTCATATTTGTATGGGAGCTCTAATTTGCGTGTAATTTGATATTTAATTTAGCTAAATGATTTCTTATTCAATACCGGCATATAGGTTTTAGTTTTTCACGAAGCAAATAAAATTATTTCAGTGTGACGGTATATCGGAAATGCCGAGTAAATGTCTTTATATGAATTTAAGATTGTTTGAGCTGTTTATTTTTCTGATTGCTGATTGAGTGATTGGAAGACGGATAACACTTTTTTCCGCTATGTTGGTTCAGGGACTTTGGCTTTAGGGTTTGGGTGGTTGTAGTTAGCTTACAGTTCCATTAGAGGCAGGAGAAAAACATTGAAGTTTAGGTTGTAATTATGCCATTCGAACGGACATTTAACAACTATGGGTGAATCTTATCTAGTTTACAGAATGTAGAATGTTATCATATGTAGTAACAATGAGGTTTTCTTTTTTCCCTTTCCTTCTTGTTATTCTTCTAAGAAAATGATATGTATGGGTTTATTGACTTAAGCTTTGTTTTTATAATCCAGAGCCATGCCGACGTTTTCTGCTATAGCTTTGGATAGGTTGTTAGAACCGGGAACATCAGAATCTGTTGATAAGTCTGGTCCTAATATGAAACCACCTTTGCCCAAGCCAAAGCTTGTAACCAACTCGAAGCTAGAGAGGAGGAACAGTGCATCAGTAACTGAAAGGAAGATAAATCATCCCCAAATATCATCACCTGGACTCTATGCCACTCCTGAAACAACTCCACTACCTGATTCACCATCTTCGTTCCCTCCATCACCTTACATCATTAATCACAAGCGCCGAGGGCCTCGCCTTTTGAAGAGCTTTTCTGAAAACAACGTATCAACTCAGAAGAAAACCACTGAAGAAAGTGAGGTTGGGAAGGCAGAGCTTATAGAAACCAAGTCTGTTGATCTATCTAAGGATGGTTCTATTAATTTTAGCATTCATGAACCTGATGAAGAGGAACATGAGAATGGTATCAATAATGATCCTATTAAAGTAGAGAAGGCAAATGGTTTCCATGCTAGCTCCATTCAAGATGAGCAAATGAATGGTGTCCATGATGGTGAACTTGGGAGCGGTAATAAAGCAGTTGGAAGCAGCCAAATGAATAATGGTATGGCCAGTGATATTGCTTCGCCCAAGCTTGTTTCATTGAACTTGAACAGAGGTGATGAAAGTGAAGATTTCTTTGATCCAAAGGATTCCATGAGCGCCACAACTAATACTGATGGTGATGATGAAAGTGCTGCAAGGCTTGGTACATCAGGGGTTGAGTTTTTTGATGCTTGTGATGGTATGTAGAGCTCTACTTTCTTCCGAATACGATCATGGATAACTGCATATGTTTAGATGTATGTGCATGTTCTTTCTGCTGAAAAACAATTTTCTTGAATGTTGCTAATTTTTTTGTTTACAACCTGGTGTATCTACTTCGACTGTGATATTATGATATATGCTATTCTTTGTTCAAATGTCTTGATTACATTAAGTCTTAGCAATGAAAAGACCTATGTATATAAACCATATTATAGTTTTTTCCCACGTTCACGTGTGCATGTGTGTCCAGTATGTCTGGATGGAATACAACACTTTTGTTGAAATATTGAGAACTATGAAAATTTTCCCACGGATACAGCTTAATTTGGAATAGGGATGATTTTGTGGTTGTTTTGGCAATTTTACTTAGATTTCTTGTTTCCTTCAGAATTATCCTCTGAGAGTGGTATACAGCCTGGCTATCGTGACACTGAAGCTGAAGTGCGAGAAATAAGATTGAGCTTACTCATGGAAATAGAAAACAGGAAGCAGGCAGAAGAGGCTCTAAACAAGCTGCGATGTGTGTGGAAAAGAATGAGCCAAAAGTTGGTTATTGTGGGATTGTTACTGCCTGCAGATCCTATTGATGTGACAGATGATGAGCTGGTGAAATGGGCTGAAGAAATGAAGCAGCAAGCAGATATTTCACGATTTGTATCATTATGTGTTGGAAAGGGCATTGCAAGGGCAGAGATGGAGACGGAAATGGAAGTTCAAACTGAATCAAAGAACTTTGAAATTGCCCGATTATGGGACAAACTACACTATTATGAGGCCGTGAATCAGGAAATGTCTCAGAGGAACCAAGAGGCTATAGGTGAGTGCCAAGTCCTAATTTTCTTTCATTTGCGTTACTAGTTTTTGAAAATAAACACATATCTTCAACTAGTTTCTTTAGTTTAATTCTCTTTATTGAAATTTGCTGCAAGCGGGGGCTTTACACATGAATATGATACAATTATGTTTATGTTATCTGATTCTGGTTTCACCAATCATCTTTGTTTCTACAGAGATGGCACGGCGGGAGAGACAAAGGAAGAAAAGGATGCAGAGATGGGTCTGGGGTTCAATTGCAACTGCAATTACCCTTGGGACAGCAGCCTTGGCTTGGTCGTATCTTCCAGCAGGTAAAGGATCATCTTCTGTTGATGTTCCTCAAGCTTCAGATCCTGTTGATGATGTGGCTAAGTGATTATTATCTTAAATCATTAAAGCTGCGAGAACCTGTCACTGTGGCTAATCGAATTAGATGCTTACGTTCATTCCTGTGAATAGCAGTCGAAACTGCCGTGAGCCATCGGAGGATGTGCAGTACCATAAATAATAAATTCAATACTACTAATTGTTCCTTAGCAGGCTGTGAGTTGATGTATTATCAAATTTATGTATCGTTATTTGTTGACCCAATTTTGGCCTAGTGTGTGCGTAATGCACATAAAACCTTGATGGATTTGTTTTAAAGGTCCTTTAGTAGATTCAGGCAGATATACTTCCTGTGCAGTACATTTCAGTGATAAAGCACACCATGTGGGAATTTATTGACCTGTTTAGTGAATGAGGTTTGTTTGGGATTATTCCAGAAACTGTATCTCATCTTTCAAATATGAAATGAGTTTGTTCTGGATTCGAATTCGTGTCCGTCAATACAATACAGTTTTCTTTTTCTTGTTGGAAACTGCTATGGTGAGACTAAAACAAGGAAATACCCCCAGAGCAGTTCTTCTGGGGCAGAGGAAAGTTGGGGTATAAATAAATCGAATTTGAATGAATAAAGTTATATTTGTATTTGTTTGTTTATTTTTCTGAAGGTGTTTATATTTAACTTATAGTCGTTTAAACTTTTTTTATCATATTTTTTCATTTACATTTTAAGGTGTTTATGTTCTGTTTGTTTATTATTTTTATTTATTTTTAAGGTATTCCGGTTTAATAATGTTGGTATAAACTAGTGAAACTATGTTTTTAGTTGAGTATTTTAGGTTTCATAATTTGGACTTTAAATTTTACTCAATGTTTAATTTAATTTTTACTTTCTTCAATTATTAAAATATATATAGAGAAGGAGATTTGGATAAATGATTTTTTAAATGAGTTTATATATATATATATATATATATGAATTTAACATACTTTTATTCGCATTTATTTTTTAGTTAAATAAAGATAAAAATAGATAAAAATGTTTTATTTTATTTATTTTAATAAATGAATATAAATGAATGTCATAATAACACTAACCATTTATACTTGAAACGGAAGTGACCGTGAAAGTAAACAAGAGTAAAGGTGAGAGTTCGATTGAGTAGAGTCGAATTTTTTTTAGTTATTCGAGTTAATAAGTTTTATTTTATAACTAGAAGTTGATTTGCATTTTTCCTATTCGAGTCGAGAAAAAAATCTTGTTTCTATTTAAATTTAATTGTTAATATTTATAACATTATAATATTATTTGATTTCAAATTAAATGATACATTATAAACTTATACAATATATATATATATATATTATTTTTTTTCATATGTGATTTACATATACTATATGAAGTCGATGAACTCAACTCAAACTTAAAAATCGATATACTACTAATAACTAAAAATTTCGAGTTATTCAAGTTGTATTTTACAACTCGATTTAAACTTGAAATTTTCCGAGTCGAGTTTAAATTTATAACTCGAAATCAATTCGAGTCGAGTTTTTACAAGTTGAGTCGAAAAAATCGATTTGTCGAGTCGAGTTTTGCTACCCTAGATGAGAGGGATAAATTTAGAAATAGATGTATATAATGCAAATCCCTAACAGCAGCAAGGAGCTAATTTACAACAATTAGTTAGCAGTTGGTTTTGTACTGGCTTACAACCGAGACCAAAGCAGCTCGTTAAGAGGTGATCATGCGAGATGCTTTAAGCGCAAGTCAATTTAAAATGAGTAGATGCAGCTCAACTCCCGAGTCTTCAGTTGCACTCTACAGTCCATTGGTGACCATCTCTTACAATTCATAAAGCATCTTTCTGAAAGTTTCGACATGGCATCCTATTTCGAGTACATTGATTTCTTACTCGGACCGCATTTTCAACAGTTAGTAAACAGTGAATCAGTTGTTGGAACTGTTGGAAAACATCATGACAGACAAATTGCCTAGGATGAGTTTGAAACGTAAATACAGAGTTCATCTTTCATCCTTGAACCAATACTGAATCACGTATAGAAGAAAGCCTAGGCCAAATCCAGCACAAGCCAGAAGAACAATTACCCTTACCAACAAGGAAGAATTAAATGCTTCCAAAACAACAGCATCCCATGATAGGTACCACAAAACTGAGAAAATCGAACCTACGACAGCACCCACAAGAATTTGATTGATCGTATGAAGCTTTTGTGACACTCGAAGCCATGACTGCGAACCAGAAATACACACACCAAGTTACATAAAGTTTTTCACAAGCTTACAAACATCAAGTCTTTCTATTTTTCTAATTTAATTTTTAGGATGTGTGCACTCACAAAATATGAACCGAATGCCAGAGCCAGAACGGAGATGCTCACAGAAAGTTCATTAACTCCCATCCATTCCAAAACTGTGAAACACCAAAAATACATAATTGAAATATTATTCACTCAATTTTGTATATTGAAATGCTAAACTTGCAATCTTAATGCAAAGTGGAGGATGGAGGAGTGTAATGTAAGGGTTTACTTGAAGCTATAGTGAAGACGACAGTGAAGAAAATGGATTGAGCATGAGAAGATGGCATCCCCGGGTCGGACTTAACCCCGGCCACAGGCCGCTCCTGGTTCAGGACGCGTTTCAGCGCAACTGAGAGCAGCGCGTTCACAATCGAACCCATCGCCATCCATAAAGCCTCGGCGTCGTGCCTCCAAAGTATCACCACACCGAACAAAGCCGCCACCAACCACTTGCTCTATCATTTCCAAATAGCCAGCCAAAAAAAAACCACTGCATTAAACATTGAAAACAAATATACAGCCTAATACTGGATATGAGATAAATAAACTCACCAGACGATTCAAAGTGGCCTCGAAACTTTGGACCCGTATTGATCCGTCGATGAGACCTTCTTGTTCAACTTCGAGCACTTGAGTAGCATCGTCTCCGTCCCTGGAGTCTTTTAACACCGAAGTTTGAATCATAGTTCTTGAACGATCCCGCAGCCCAATTTTTTGGGTCAAAATCCCCCCAAGAAAACTAGTTTTCCGGGTTCGAAGACAAAGGGAAAATTCTGGGTCAAAGGGCTTAGGTGAAGAATTACGCTTGAATTTAAAGAGTAGGGGCTGGAAAGGAGTTGAAATGGAAAACATGTTTTTGGGGAAATTGTAAAGTGTAGATTAGAAGCATGGTTTTATTTTATGAAACGTGTGAGATTCTGTAAAACGTGTGGAGTGAAGACGGGGAAGATATGTTTCTTTCTCAGTGTAATAAATGGATGAGAAAATTCCGAGGATAGAACCTAAGATATGAAGTTTATTTACATGCTTTTTTACCAAAAAAACTCCTTATAAATAAAATATTACATGTTAGTCACCATTTCCTAAATGTTACCCTATTTAAAACCTAAGAGAAGGAGACGAATTCGGTGACACACACTTTAAGAGGACCGAAAGGTAAGACGTGATTGGTGGAAAGCGTCTTAGCTAAAAATCGCTTGACACTAATGATACCCCTGGAAGGCACATACTCAGGAGCGCGCTCTGGAAGACGCATCCCAAGAGGCACGCCTTCCACTTCCTGCCCCGAACTCCCAATCGGCTACTTATATAAACCCCCTTTCTCAACTTAAATAAAGCACACCTAAATATCTATCATTCCTATTTATTTTCAATTTAATAAGATATAATTGTTTTATAATTTATTTTTATTCATTAAAATTTTTATTGTTTAAGTAATTAATTATTTTATTTTAGTATTTATTTTTTATTTGATTATTTAATTGTAAACTTATTTAATTAGTTAATATTTATTAATTGCAATTAAAAAATGGAAGACAAATTGTTACGATTGGATGCTGATTATATTTTGAGTCATTTTGTTGATACGGTAAGAATACAAAATTATATTCTTTTTAAATTTATAAATATTATGAAATCGATTATATATTATTTAAATTATTATAACTTATTTAGTTGAATTTATTTAAATAATTTTGAAATAGCAGTTCAAATTTTAATGATTAGAATTTATTTATTAGAAAAATGATCGTATATTAGAAGTTTTTGTTCGCAAGAAGATGAAAATACCGAGACATATCTGGCCATACTTGTCTATGACCGAATTCGGTTACTTAGCAAAAATTAAAGTTGAAGTATTTTTAACCGTACTAAATTTATTAAACATTTTAAAATTTATAATAAATTTTAAAATTAATTAAATTAGTCGAACTTTATTATTTTTATTTAAAAATTAAAAATTAATTTTATTAATAATTAACTTTTTAATTAATCTGATAATCCGATTACGAATTAATAATCGAATGAATTAATCGGTTGTATATCTCTATCTCCCATCATCTCCCCACGTTTTTCTTACATTTTATATGATTTTATTATGACCGACAATCATTTATATGATTTATTATTGTTATCAAGTATGAAAATCATACAAAATGATACTTAATAACAAATACGTAGATTTAGTTTCTCACGTTTTTCAAGAAATATATCATTATCATCTATAATTGAAAATATATTCGATTATTTTCAGAAAAATAAATAAATAAATTTAATCGGTTAATCAAATTACTCGTCTTTATTATCTCGTATTATCTTATGTAATAAGTTTTAAACTCATTAGGATTATTCTCTTTTTTTTCTTTTTTTCTTTTTCTATATAAAATTAGAATTAAGATTTTAAATTTATAAAAAGTTATCTCACGAAAAAACAAACTAAGCCTGCTGATTAATTTAATAGCATTGGCATCTCTTGCAAATGAACTAAAATATTTTTAAATGCATCTGTATTCAATTTGTGGTTAATGGGGGACTACAGATCAGCACTATTTACTAGTTTGAAATATAAAAATTAAAATTAATTTGCATGGTTGTTAAGTCACCATCATCAGCACTCTTTCTAGCCTTGTTAATTGGAGGTAGATGTTATAATTAAGAGATTTAATATCAAATTCCAATAAATTAAGGAAGGTTTAACGTAAATATTTATTTAGTTTTAAAATTTTTAAACATACTTTAAATTACACACGTCATTATTTTATAGTCTCTATTTTTTCTTTAGGTAGAACAAGTTTGAGTCCACATAATCCATATTATCAAAGACTTAATTGAAAACTTTAATAACTCTCAATCTTTTGACATTGAACGGTTATACTTTTGGCATCTATAGTACTCGAACTAAGGTCTTCAAAGAATAACAATAATTTCTTTACTACGGAAATCATTTGGTTCGTGCAAATAAATAGATGATAACTTAATTGAATGATATGTTTGTAACTAAAAGGAAGTGAATCGTTTGATACTAAACACGTCATTGAATGTTATGTAGTATATTTTACCCTAAAAAATAATTTACAACGAAGATTATCATGAAAAATCATGGATTTCCTACCAATTGATGCAAAGAATCATTCAACTTTTAACCGATGGCAGATTCCATGGGGACCAATTTCCACCATTGAATCCATCTCTTCAACCCTTTTCCATCGACCTTCCTTATCTCCTCGTTCTTTTGGGATAATCTGGATATTTATGGAGCACACCTGGTTTGAAAATCCGAGTAACATACCTGGGGCGTTGGAAATATGGAATAAATTCATGGTGCAGAGCATGTGAGATACATGGAGAGCCCATCAAACAAAACCTGTTATTTTTTCTTTTCTTTTCTTTTTATAAAAAGGGGGTCTGCTACTATAGATTAGAATACATATCGATGCAGCTGAGATCGTGTTCTGAGAATAAAAGAAAATTTATTGATTCTAATTTTAAATTTATTGAATGAATAAAGTAATCGAATTATAGAAGAGGGGAATATAGTGTTATGACTTGGGAAGTATACGTGACTTTGTGTGCCAAGTGCATGAATGAGGGTTATCATGCTATCTTTATATTCTGTACTTAAACTGTACCATAATTGCTGTGATGCAACCCGGAAATTTCTCATATATATATATATATTACAAAATTTTAAAAACAAATTGGAATAATTCAGATAATTAATTTATTTATTTATTAAAATGGTGTAGGATCAAATACAATGTTTTGTTGAACAATATCCTTGTGGGGTATTCTTTGATGTTCAATAATGAAGCTTTTCCTCCCCCTTAGCTTCGTTGACGAATTGCAGTTAGATCTGTAGGATTGGATGGCCTAGCACTAGTAAACTTCACTTCACTGCCACAATTCATTTCAAGTTAAAACACAGATATTTTTATCAACATTGCATTACCATGTGCTAATATTTGTAAGAAATGCAGCTCAATCTTTACTTGAGTTTGGTCCATAAGATAATCACACACCACTCCAGCAAAGCCCCTAAGCACAATGGACCGTCCTCTTTAAAAAAAATTAAATTCTTATATATTTTTATTAATTTTTTTTTTATTTTCTTAAAATTTTACAGGTTAACCTTTTCACAAAATTTTATAAATTCACTTCCGAACCATAAAAATCTTTTATCGGGCCATACCTAAACACAGAGATGACAGATGATGAGAAGCTAAAACTACTAGTGATTTTCTCTATTTATTTTTGGCTTGAATGGGATAACACTAACATGCGTGACTTTCAGATCAGAACCATATTAAAGGTCTCTGGCAAATTTTAGTCTTTCCCTCCTTTGGTTTTGAATCTACTGTACGTACACACAGATCAGTTTAAAATCCACCAAGCAGAATTCAATGTCGGATATGTAATATAATAAACACTTGGGGGATTTCATTCGTAAATATTGTTGCTTTTACTCATTTCTTTTCCAAATCTCATTTTGATCCTCTTTTCTTGGTAAATTTATATATTATTTGAACTCAAAATGTACGATAATTGATATCATAGTCAATTAAGTAATTATTAAGTTTGATGGAGTCCCTTAAAATAGAAAAAGTGCAGAGGTATTATTGAATCCTCTTTCTGGAATGGAAAGTCCTTGGACTTGTAGTTTAAAGGAGAGGCCAAATCAACGAGGAGAACAGAAGTGGAAGAAGCTGCTATCATAAAAATGTACAAGAGCTGTCATTTGAACGGAATTAGATTTTAGGAATGGGGAAAGCTGCAATATCCGAATATGTTTTGATGTTTGAATCAGTGAATATATTTCGATTTATTGAAATGTATGTCATTTCAATGTTGGACAACTTGCAATATTGGGACCTCAACGCATTCGATGCGTCGTGTTTTTGTCTGCAAAATTCAAGGAGGAAACGTCATTTATGCATGGTGTTTTTCACTTTATCAAAATGTCATGCTGAGAAAGGAAATAGATCAAACTGAAGAAGGAATTAAATTATAATGTTTTAATGATTTATATTTTGTTGTTTATATTAATAATTAAAGTTGAGTTTTAATATATATTTATTTCATGTATTTTCTGGATTATCTAAATGGATGTCCACGTGTGATGTACTTTATGGGCATGATATTTCTCTGTGTTCTACTCCGAGCATGCCTTGTTAGACCCCTTTAACCTTTGGGTTTTGCTTAAATTTTTTTAGCTATTACTAATATTTCTTAATAAATAATAGAAATAATTCCTAAATTACATAACTATCAGTCTATATAAGCATTTCCTTAGGATGGTTCGGTTCTCCGCAAATAATACCTCTGCTTTTATTTTCCCAATACCTTCCAAATTCTCCTTTTATTTTCCCGGAAAAATTAAGACATTCGTTTCCAGATAACCAAACGGAGCTTAAACTTTTCGAATTTCTTTCTGAACATCAGCTTTTGAATGCCTTGAAAACTTTTGTCTTGATGGATTCGTTTGTTTTCGATAACGTGAAAGCAGATAAAGCCAAGGCCATGAGAAGGTACAATCGGCTTCGAAGCTTAGCGAACGCCTTTCGTTTCTTGGAATTGCTCTTGGCTTCGCTGTTTTTGGCGTGGGCCTTCGGGCGCGTGCCTTTCCTCGTCAACATCAACGGCGAGTTCATTTTGAAGCTCGGAGGAGTTGTCGCCAGTCCTCTCTTCGTTTTCCTCGTCTGTAACGTCATCATCGTCACTCTCATTGCTAAGTCTGGCATTTTCTCCGCCTTTGGCAATGCCGATTCCAAAATCTACGACGAAATCACCAAAATCGCTGAGAATCGCTCCAAATCGGAGTCTCAAGAAGAGATTGTATATCAAGATAAGGAGACCATCTCTGAACCGAACACAACTACTCTCACATGTGAAGAAATGAAGCCGGAGTCTGAGTCGGATTCCGATACTGAGACGGATAATCCGAGAGTGTATAGAAGGAGTAAGTCGGAGAAGTTGCCGATTAGAAAAACTGAAGAGCAAGTGAAGAAGGAACTGCGACGATCGGAGACAGAAAAGTGCCACAAAATGGAAAACACGGACGAGGAATTATTTCCAGAAGACGAGCTGAGCAACGAAGAGTTTCAACGAACGATCGAAGATTTTATCGCCAAACATTTGAGGTTTCGGCGAGAAGAATCTCTGTCTATTATTCTTCAATGTTCAAATCCTGAAAAAATAAATTTACTTTTTCAGTAAATTTTAACCGCTCAAAAAAAAAACATTGTTTATTACTGTTTCTTTTTCACCTTTGAAAAGAGAAAGTAAAAACGACTGCTTATGGTATGTTTGTACAGTGCTAAAACTAGAATGGAGTAATTCGGTTGTAGAGTGCTCATGGTATGGTTTTTTACCTTTAAAATGAAATTTGGTTGGAATAATAAAACTTAAACTATAATACTCTTTTATTATGGATACGCATTAGATTGAGATTAAACTCCTAGAGTTGGTATTTCTAGCATTGATAGATAGTCTAATCAATCACCCAAGCTTTTTGTTGTCTGCTTTGTAAGTGCATATTTAGCACTGTCCTACTAACAGTAATTTCTAATATCTTCTTTAAGCAACAGAAACTAGTGCAGAGAACTTTGCCTAACGTTATTGCTTTCCCTCCACCTTTTCGTAAGCAATCACAGTTAGTAACACCATAAAGAAACAATGGGGAGTGGTTGAATTTTACTAATTTAATTGGATATTAAAAATGGGATTTTTACGAAATTTCTTGCATATTTTTTATTAATTAATATTAATTATTTTTGTAAGAGCGTATTCATTTTTGTCCAAATTTATGACGAAATTTTCTTATTAACTAATTTAAACAAGAAGGTTGAGTCGAAATTTAGGTAAAATTTGTAATTGGCCTAATCCATATTTTTAAAGATTAGGTTTATCCCACAGATGCAACAAGATCTATCTGATGTAGCGATTAATATAAGTTATGTGGTGCTCCATGTGTTTAGTGACGCTTGCCTTTTTCCCCATTAATTTCAATCTCAATTGAGGGGTTTTAGTGACGATAAGAGAGGTTCAAGGTAGCAGCATTGGACAATTATTCACTATCACCTATTTTCAGAATAAATCCCCCATCCAAAAGCTGAGCTAACTGTTGATTGATGGGTTATAAAGCATATCCATGCAAATTTCAAATTTAACCTTAACCCAAATAATGTGGATTAACTTGACCTAATTATTGAGGAAAAAGTTGGGGTTGAGTAAAAAATATTTGTACATATCGCCTTGTGAGCATATAACTATTAAAGGCAAAATTAGGGGCTCGTAGGGTATAGCATAGTCAGCAGCTGTATGTGTAAGGCAATTGACAACCCGATGGACTTGGGGTCTAGTCTGTCTGGAGGGCTATATTGAATGTTGCCTTTGTATTATTGAATAGCACTGCCGATGCCTTTTCTTTTGTTTTTACCTATCCTCACCCTGATAATTGCATGCTCGTTTACAATGATATATATATATCATGCATGCATGCATGTAATGATGTATATGCATGCATATATATGCTCGTAGTTGCATGAAATCATGGAGAGGATGTATATAAAACCATGCATAGAAAACTTATTAGTTCAAACCTGTGCTCTCCCTAGCTGATAATAGCGTGCCTGCCATTAGAAGTTCCACTATATTACTTAAGCAATAAAGACAGCAGTGACCACAATAAATCTTGTTGGAAACGTAGACGAGCATTCAATACTTTTACAAACTCGAAATTACTATTTATACGAAACAAAATATATTACAACGACATTATCTTAATATTACAACACTACAATACTAGCTGCGGCTTGTTTACAAACACAACCTCTCGTCCTTGCTTTGCTTTTGCTAAGCTTTTTCATTCTCTAATAGTTTTGCTAAGCTATTTCTCATTCTTGCTTTTCTAAGCCTTTTCTCATATTCCTTCTCATACATAAACTAAAACTATCAAGGCCTTTTTATAGGCAATTTAACTGCCTCATGAAGCTTCAAGATTGCTTTCATTCTACCGCCTTATAATTCCTTAATAATTAAGTAGAATAGCTGCTGCCTTTTCAATCCTTCACGTGGACATGTTTATATTAAGCAAACTTTGATTGCCTTGCCAAAACTCTTCCTTAATTGATAAGCTTGCCAACTCATCCATATTTTGACTTTTCAACTATGCTACAATATTCTGCCTCCTTGAACTTTGCTTAATAATTAAGCATATTGTAACTTCATCATTGCTACAATTTTATAATATTTGTGTGGATCACCTTAATAACTTTTTAATATTTAGAAATCAAGTTTGATTTCTAACACTCCCCTCAAACTTGATTTTTCATTCCGAGCTTTTCTCCACTTGTCTTCTCCAATCGATTCTTCATTTCTTGGCAAGTGCACGCTATTGCAGCTATGTATTCTTCTTTGTTTTTTCTGCGCCTTGGAGAGATTTTTGTAAAATCTCCCACGCTTGTTTTGCGGTCTTCGCATCAAATTTTTTTCAAAGGTAGATTCGTATACTCCTTGAAAAATAAATAACAACGCTTTTTTTTATCTTTTTTTTGGGATTTCTTCAATACCTTCTTTTCTTCATTGGCCAGGGCTGCTTCTGCTGCTGCATTTTCAGGCTCGGTGTAACCATCCTCGATGATATCCTAACAATCTTGGGAGCCTAGTAACACCTTCATTTGAATGCTCCAATTGTCATAATTGGTCTTTGTCAATCTCGAAATTTATGGTTGAATCATGTTGGTCATCTTCTCCACCACGTTAAACTTGAACCAAGCTCTGATACCACTTGTTGGAAGCGTAGGTGAGCTCTCAATAATTTTACAAACTCGAAATTACTATTCATACGAAACAAAATACATTACAACGACATTACCTCAATATTACAACACTACAATACTAGCCGCGGTTTGTTTACAAACACAACCTCTCGTCCTTGCTTTGCTAAGCTTTTTCATTCTCTAATAGCTTTGCTAAGCTATATCTCATTCTGGCTTTTCTAAGCTTTTTCTCATATTCCTTCTCATACATAAACTAAAACAATCAAGGTCTTTTTATAGGCAATTTAACCGCCTCATGAAGCTTTAAGATTGCTTTCATTATACCGCCTTATAATTCCTTAATAATTAAGTATTATAGATGCTGCCTTTTCAATCCTTCACGTGGTCATGTTTATATCAAAGCAAACTTTGCTTGCCTTGCCAAAACTCTTCCTTAATTGCCAAGCTTGCCAACTCATCCATATTTTGCCTTTTCAACAATGCTACAACATTCTGCCGCCTTGAACTTTGCTTAATAATTAAGCATATTGTAACTTCATCATTGCTGCAATTTTATAATATTTGTGTGGGGTCACCTTAATAACTTTTCAATATTTAGAAATCAAGTTTGATTTCTAACACTTCCCCTCAAACTTGATTTTTCATTCCAAGCTTTTCTCCACTTGTCTTCTCCAATCGATTCTTCATTTCTTGGAAAGTGCACGCTGTTGCGGCTATGTATTCTTCTTTGTTTTTTCTGCACCTTGGAGAGTTTTTTGCAAAATCTCCCACACTTGTTTTGCAGTCTTCGCATCAGAAATTTTTTTAAAGGTAGATTCGTCTACTCCTTGAAAAATAAATAACAACGCTTTTTTATCTTTTTTCTGGGATTCCTTCAATACCTTCTTTTCTTCATTGGTCATGGCTGCTTCTGCTGCTGCATTTTCAAGCTCGGTGTAACCATCATCGATGATATCCAAACAATCTTGGGAGCCTAGTAACACCTTCATTTGAATGCTTCAATTTCCATAATTCGTCTTTACCAATCTCGGAATTTGTGGTTGAATCATGTTGGTCATCTTCTCCACCACGTTAAACTCGAACCAAGCTCTGATACCACTTGTTGGAAGCATAGGTGGGCTCTCAATAATTTTACAAACTCGAAATTACTATTCATACAAAACAAAATACATTACAACGACATTACCTCAATATTACAACACTACAATACTAGCTGCGGTTTGTTTACAAACACAACCTCTCGTCCTTGCTTTGCTAAGCTTTTTTATTATCTAACAGCTTTGCTAAGCTATATCTCATTCTGGCTTTTCTAAGCTTTTTTTTCATATTCCTTCTCATACATAAACTAAAACTATCAACGTCTTTTTATAGGCAATTTAACCGTCTCATAAAGCTTCAAGATTGCTTTCATTCTATCGCCTTATAATTCCTTAATAATTAAGTAGTATAGCTGCTGCCTTTTCAGTACTTCACGTGGACATGTTTATATCAAAGCAAACTTTGCTTGCCATGCCAAAACTCTTCCTTAATTGTCAAGCTTGCCAACTCATCCATATTTTGACTTTTCAACCATGCTACAACATTCTGCCGCCTTGAACTTTGCTTAATAATTAAGCATATTGTAACTTTATCATTGCTGTAATTTTATAATATTTGTGTGTGATCATCCTAATAACTTTTCAATATTTAGAAATCAAGTTTGATTTCTAACAAAATCTAGGAAAACTTACGTCTGTATAAATAATTATTTCCGGGTATTAAGGATTAGGTATGTTTGGTCTTGTCCGTACATGTTGAAATTTATTTATAGTCTGGAAAAAATCATATTAATTATCTGCAACCTCAGTCAATTCGACAAAATCATATTAATTATCTGCAGTAAGGTGATGCGCTTGATTGTGTTTAAAGTTCTTACCAGTTTGTCTATTTCTTTCCACTGATAAGTGTATCAAGGATAATCAAGGTGTGACTCTCCGAATATGTGCAAGAACCTATGCAAGACATAATGGCTAATACTTGACCAGCGCATTGTAGGTGGCAAGAGTGAACCATGGGCCGTCAGGTACAGACCGAAATTATTTAGGGACTGAACCCTTTGATGGGTTTAATTGTGAGCGCAGTCTTTATCGATGGCATCACCAATAAAAAACTAAAAAGCGTTGGTTTGTTTTGAGCTCCTTGTTGGCCCGCTTATGGAAGCATGTTGTTTGCAAAGTTTTTTTTTTGGATAAGTCAAAATTTTATTATCCAGAATAGCCAAAAAAGCTACATAAACATACTGGGTCCAAAACAGAACAATACATACAAATAATCAGCAATCAACTATTCCCCAGTGGTTGCAAAGAGAAATATTCACATCAACTTTTTAAAAAATCCTACCTCTAAGGTGTAAACTAATTACATCTTTAACAGTCTTTATTAATTCACTAGCAGGCC